GAAAGGATTGAATGATGACTTGAAGAACTTAAATTGCAAGGATAAAGAGATGACCAAACTTAGAAAAGAGATGTCAGTGCAATCCAAACCAGAACACTGTTCGGTAATTGGGTCATATCTAGAGCTATATATCTCAGATTTAGGTCCAATTTATATGGATGGAAAGGTAAGACATAGGCCTACAACTTTCATATGGAGCCCAAGATCTAAAAAGGCCATTATCAAGTCCAAATTGTAGCAACAACAAAGAAGCCCGAATCTGTCTTCCAGCCCGAGCACTGTTCGGTATTTTGGCCATATCTGGAGTTCTAGAAGTCCAAATGAGCTGAATGTTTTACACAAGAAAGCTGAGACAATTGCCTACAACTTTCATGTTTGCAACTGGCTCCAATTTTGACGTTATCAATGACGTTTTGGGCAGACAAGAGAAGATAAAGATTGTCACCAAGTCAAAAGTTGGCCACCCACTTATCAATTAGTCATCAAATCAATAGTTCCTAATTTTGGCCTATAAAAGGAGGCATTTGCCATGCATTTAGGCATCTTGGTTTCCAGATCAAGATCATGCTCTTCCTTTCTCTCTTTGTATTTTTTATGCTTTGTTTTCATTAATATTAAGTTTATGCCTTTCATTTCCTTTCCTTTACTTAGTTAACTTTTATGTTCTTATTTTGTTTATCTATTTTGCTTTCTTTCATTATGTCTAGCTAAGTTAATTATGTCAAGGTGAAAAGGTTACACTAATGGTGTAAGAATAAGTATAATGTAAACTTAATATGGACTTTAATGTTTGATACTAACATGTTTTATATTTGTTATCTTGTTCACTCTTTAATACTTTGCTTGTTAAATGACTAATCTTGATTTATGTTGTATAACACTTGGTACAACAAATGCTTGGCACTTTCATAGCCCATAATGTATGGTATAACCGACACCTGAGCTATGAAAGGAACTTGATTTATTGTTAACATAAGTTATAATCATGAATGCTTGACGAGATTTACAAGTATTAGCATTAATTGAATAAGATGACTAATGTAATCATGTTAACAATATATAATCTGATTGGAACCTCCTTTGTGTGTGGTTTCCAATTCAATAATAAGAGTTTATACTATACTTGTTTGATATACCATTAGTGGAACCTCTAACCTTGACATTTGTTATTATCATTGTTTAATCGTTACATTAATATTCCATCTCAAAGTTCTCATCTTCTTCTTCTTCTTCTCCTTCTTTTTCTTTATTATTATTATTATTATTATTATTATTATTATTATTATTAGTACTACTACTACTACTACTACTACTACTACTACTACTACTACTACTACTACTACTACTACTACTACTACTACTACTACTACTACTACTACTACTACTACTACTACTACTACTACTACTACTACTACTACTACTACTACTACTACTACTAGTATCAAACATCAATGATTATCAACTAATAATCATGATTTGATCAAAAAAGGTTTCGATGTAAAAACAAAACCGAGTGATTAAAACTAAAAAAACAATTATTAATGCAAATTAATCCTAGATTATTGATTAATCAAGTCTCATAAAGTGGTTAGAGCAAATAAATGGACCAAAACTAATCCAAATCATGATCTAAGGGCAATTTTTTTTTTCTAAGAACATAAAAAAACCAAAACCTAGATTTGCCCATAAATGCACCAACTATTATCAAACCTAGAAAATTACATTTCAAGGCCCAAAACCAAGCTTTTTTTATTCACACAAACCACATTTTCATAGTTATACATTTAAATCAAAACAAACAAACAAAATAACAAATCATACAAAACATGCATGAGGCTTCAAATTTTAAAATTATCAACGCTAAAAAGTAAGCATATTCAACAGTATGGAATTTAAAATTGACATTTAAACACTTCACAAGAATTAACCAAGACCTAGAAGTCAATAACATGCATTATTAAACCCTAAAAAAATAAAAGCTATTGTTATAGTTGGCAGATTCCAAAACCATTTCATTCCATAAAAAAAAAAAAATCAGAAGCATATCTTATTAGCATTCAATGGCACTAAAAAAAACTCAAAGCAAAATCTTGTACAAATTATCTCTACCCAGGTGTTTAGCATATATATCATATTACTAAGGCCTATCAAAGATCAAACTACATGCATTCATATCTACTACAACACAATACATATTATCCTTATACTTTCTAATGGAAATGGTATTCTACAACATTGATTTACCCTTATTTCTCCTTTTTACTTTATCCACCCAATCTTGTAAGGTTTAGGATAAGGTTCTAGTGGTAATTTTAATTTATCAACAGTATGTTTACCAATAATATTTTCACAGCTCCAACTATTGATAAATAAGTTAAAAGTTTTTATAATGGTGCAACAGGTACGAAATAACCTATTTCGTTATGAATCATCAATAACCTCTGATGTTAGCATATTCCTAACTATATAGTTTTGTCTCTCACTATAATCATCATCGTTATACTTATACTAATTTTTTATATCACCTTTATCAGGTTCACATAGCTCGCCCTCTTCATCTAAGGGTTGTGGCTCATATTGTCCTTTGATCAGATTAATTGATTTTTTATCTTCTACAATCACTGGAATGATGTCATGATTCTCTATATTTAAAGTATTTAATAATCATTGGCCTAATAGGGGGTTTTTTTGTTTGTTCATTTCAACTTGTTTTCCTGAAGTCTTATCAAGTCTAGTAGTATGAGGTCTTATTGGAGTTGGCGTTAATGGTTGTATTGTCTTCCTTTTATTAATAAAACTGAATCTTCTAATCTTATTATACAGCCTTTTAGAAGGATCAGGCCTGTCAAATCTATTACTACTATCAGCCCTCTTTTTCATTAGCATCTTGATTTTTAATGCCATGTTCCTTGTTTTAAAGAGCATAAATATCATTTATACTCCAATCTTATGCTGGACCTTTTATTTTAACCCTCTCATAAACCTCGCAACTTTTGATTATCTATCTCTTTGAGCCTATTATGTTTTGTCAGCCTTTGAAATTTAACAATATACTCATTAACAGATTTATTACCTTATGAACAATATTGACATCGCTAAAACAAATATTAATTATAGTCAAGAGGAAGGGATCTCTCATGCAACAATTACCTCATGTGCATTTATGATGCAATAAGTTGTCTCCCTTCTCTTAACTGTGTATATATCTAACATTTCCCATTAAAAAAAGCTTCACCTTTCAATTTATATGTGTCCAGTTTCACCATCTTCTCTTCCAAGAAACCCAAGCACTCCTTAATCATATCACATTCAATAACCCAATCAAGAAGTTCTTTTATATCAAAATCTCCATTGAATGTTGGGATCTCTATCTTGATGTGAAAATCATGTGTTTATTAAAGTGGTCTATCTTGAAATGTTAAGCCTCTAGAGGCCTTGTAAAATTCATCTTCACCGACACCTTTTACATGAACAATTGATTGTCTCAGTGGAACTTCAGGAATAGGTCTGGGATCCGACCTACCTTAAAGCAAGTCCTCAAGCAAGCCCCTCTCCTTACCCATTAACCGAACTAGATATGTTATGGTTTGCTCCAAACAATCTGGTTTCTACTCTTGAGCCTCTACAAAGCTCTAAAGAGCCTCCACTTCCGCATCATAAAGTAGGTTCCTAATTATATGTACCGTTTTAATCCATTAAAGAGGCTAACTTACTTTGATAGCAATTGACACAGTGTATAGTATAGTTAATGTTTGGGTTCTTAAGCTTTAAGGTTGCAAACCTAAACTGTAGAAAAATTTAGAGAAAAATCCCTGGTATTTTATTAAAAATCTTAATAATCTTCCCAAAATAAACGAGATATCTTCATTTATATTAGATTTAAAATCCTTTATGAAAAAAGATTAAAACTAAAATCCTTAATAGAAAAGGATTCTTAATTAAAATTTATCTAATTAAAAAAGAATCTACATAGCATTAGTATTCCTAAATACTAATTAAAAATAATTAATGACAATTTAAAATTAACTAAGAAAATAATTTAAAAAATAACTTCAAATTTCATATTTCATATTAGATACTTCTAGATTTCTTTAAGACTTATTTTCAGACTTGATACTGTTTATCTAGGTAATACAATATATATCCGTCACTCAACCAGCTTTTAGGAAAGGGAATCCATGGTGCATGCAAACAAATTATAAAGCATGACAAACTGTGAGGGGACTCATATAGGTCCCAGGCGTTGTTTTTCTAACGCAGTTCTGACTCCTCTCTTCTCAGCTATTGTCTAACCTGCACGTCTAGCCAAAATTATGAGTTGAGATCACAAGGTGGTGGTAAATTTGATTCCTAGATGAAGTTCTGCCTCCAACCAGAATTTCCATAAAACGGCCATGTGTTTGCCGGACCCTGGGGTCCGGTATTCCGTGATTGACCCCCATTAATGAGCCCCCCCACCCCAAAAAAAAAAATACATAAAATAATAATAATAATAATAATAATAATAATAATCAATTGTCCATAATCCTAAGTTCCTAACTATAGAAATCTCAAACCTAAAAAAAAAAAAATCTTTACCATGAAAGATTGTGGACTGCATAATTGCACGAGAAATACACCTCACAGTTGGTATACAAAGAAATGCCACGAAGAAAATTACTTCTCACTTTTGTACCTTTATGGATGTGGATGGCAAGACCTGAAAAAAAAAAATGTAACTTGGATAAACAAGAGTTGGCTTGACGATGCCTCACCACTAAACAAGAAAAAGATTTTGATAGTTGGATTCATTACGAGAGAGTTTTCAACCTCTTTAATATGCTCTTCTTGTGTTTGATAAAATTCCATTGCAAATCTATTAAAACACTTTTAGATGGCACTAAATACAATTTATATAGCATAGTCTTTACATCAATCTTGTTTTCAAGGTGTGTGTGTGTGTGTGTTGAAATAGCATCAAAACTTGGCTCATGAACTTCATGTGTCAGGTCTGTCTGTAAACTTTTTGATTGAATGATGGGGGCAATATACATAACTCATTCGTGAGCATATGCCTTTGTATGTGGACAATAATATTACAATAACGGGATCTGTTTCTCTGGGGTACAATTATTCAGTTGAAAGAAACTAAGCATTCAAAGGGGGTCGGACGCCCTTTCTCCACTTCAAAGGTTTGATGTTTTTTGTTTCCAGGCTTTGAAGTTAGTGCAGCAAATGTAGTATAATTTAGCTCTTGCCAGCGAAGTCCGAAGCAAGTAAGCCAGACCTTTAGATAAAGTCACCAGCCAGCAGCTTTCAAGTCATCATGCTTTCTTGCATTAGTCCTAGACAAATCAACATCACGGGCAGGATGCAGATTAGAAAACACATGCACGTCAGAAATCAAATATATATGAACCACAAATAAAGTCGTTCGTTCAAGTCTGTAGCTTTTAGAAAGTCCAGCTCAGAATAACAAGCTTAACAACTAGCAAGACTTACTACCAGTGGTCCTTCAGCGCTTTGGTAGTGGTCTCTTGGTATCTATTAAGAGGATATGGGTTCAGTTTTTAACAGGAGCAAGGAATTCAACTTGTTTACAAAAGGTAGCCAAAGATAGCTCCTCATCTTTGATGAGGTAGCAAGATCAATCCTATGCCGAGGCAGGTATTAAGCCCAGCTTTCCCTTCTTTCTAACACCACCACACTAACCATTGAAATGAGAATTCACTTTGCAAATTGTTGGGAAAATAAAGAATAATTGGACATCAATTTACCCGGATCAATTCAACAGAATTCAATTCACAATTCACAAATCCTAATTATTTCCCTCTTTGTGCAGTAAAACAGAATCAAACAATGACCAAATATAATGTAAATAATCACAAAATCAATACCAAAATTTTTTAAAATGGAAAACCCGATGCGAAAAAAATCACGGGAACGTAATCCACCTAAAAACTTTCACTATCAACAAATAATGGGTTCACAATCATTCTTCCTCAGATTCAACTAAGGGATACAACATATATATCATCAAGAACAACTTATTCT